CTCGAAACCGCCATATTTTAGGATGCTGAAACATGGTCGAAAAGTCGCTCTTTCGTTCGGCCGGAGAAACCGTTGCCGGAGACGAAGTAAGGCCTTGCGTCGGTGTCGTGTTCAGGATAGTGGCCCGCCATCTTATCGACAAGTCTTCCCACCAAAACGCGCATTCATTGCAGGCGGCGACTGTGTTGTGCCGTCTTGTGAGTTAGGTAACTCAGAGGTGCGCTGAAGAGCACAGGCTCAGAGTCCGGCCCAACGCTGCTGCTGGGTCAGTCTTCGCACCGTGCCACATCGCACTTTGGGGACGAAGGCTGCGAGTAGTGTTGAAATCATGTTCACACTGAGCTCCCAGCCATCACCGTGCCGCCTTTCCGCTCTCCGCTCCAGGAAGAATAGCATGCTTGGCGTGTAGCAATATTCCACCACAACGCCACCACCAGATGTGGCCGGCTAAATGTGTGATCCGCTATCGAGTGAGCTGCGCAGTCCCGGCTGACCGGGGCCCCGTCTTTGTCAGGGCAAGGCTTGGTATCAGGTCTCTAAGCGCCATCAATCACGACATGAGTGTACAACGCGAGTAGAGGACCGGGGTGGGGCGTTCTGCGATGGAAAGAGGGGCCCCACTAGCCTGTTCGCTTGCGCATGAACAATATACTGTCGACTCCAACAGCTCGGCGCGTGGAACTCTCTACACACATATGCCTCCCAGGAAATTGAAAGTGTCGCATCAGTACGAGCACCGACCTCGCAATTGATTACTCCCATGGCTGCCGCCGGTGCATGCCGCCAAGGCTGCACGTGGCCTGCAACATAGCTCCGATGTGCACCTGGACACCGTCCCGCCTCGTCGCTTGCGCGTATGCACAGCGCGGCTTCCCCCCTATCCATTTGCACACCCTATCCGCATGCGTACATCGAGGCCGTCTGAGCCTTATCGACGTCTGCCAATGCGAAAAACCATGGGACGACTTCGTCAGTACAATTCTTTTGTAAATTCCAGTCACCGAGCTCCAGATCCGGCGCGCAGGCCCATTTATCCATCTTGGCTGGTCCTGGCATCGCATGGTAAGCTTGACCTACCGTGAGCGGACTCTTGGTTGGTTCGTCCAAGCCTTGAGTGCAGAACACCAAGAGGCATACCGGATGCTAAGCAAAATTATCCGCGGGACGAGTCGCCTGTTCAGATGGGGATCCAGAGCTATCGAGGCGTCTTACAATCAAGCCCGGGGGCGTCTCAAGCCTCAACGCTGGGCACAGCGGAATAGCAACAGAATCGGGGAACGCATGGCTTGATGGCGAAAATCACTCGGCAGATCGGCTTCGACATCTCATGATGGAGGAGTCTATCATCTGATGAGTTGAAGCAGACCGAGGCATAGAACCACCAGACCTCGCCAGCAAGCGCTTTTGCACATGTCGCGTCTCCAAAACGCAACATGCTGTTGTCCTATCTGGCTATCACGAAGTTAATATCAAGGCGCTTTCGAGGGCCAATGAATGACAGCAACCCGTGTCTGGGTCTATTGTCAAATGTGGTCACACGTTCTAGCGCCACCAGGTTATAGACTTCTGGAAGGCAGCCGAACACCCCATGGGGAGACAGCAATTTGCATCGGACGTTGGATACCTCCGTTGGCGGCCAATGCCTAGATATGACAAGACGGGACTTCTCTGTTCTTGTAAGTCTAGTCCCACGGCGCTACGGGCCTGGTGCCAACAGATCGCTCGGTGGAGATTTCTTGGTATCATCTTACTGGTCCTTCCCACCGTTGCTGTCAGGCAGTCTTCCTGCAAAGTGCGGTACCCATGTCCGTCAACCCGCGGTGGAACAAGCATGGGAGTATCTCCCATCCGGGGTGTGGGGTCGCTTGCAGTGGAGGTGGATCGAATATAAGTACTCGACGCCGGACGAGGGTCATTCTCAACCCAAGGGACTTCGCCCATCAGTAGCACAGTCTACTTGTCCTGAACTTCGGTCAATCTTTCACTTAACAGTTCCATCGTTCTTTATTCAAGATGGTCGGTATGCACGTCGGAGCCGCCAAGGGCAACAGTGCCGTCCGCGAGGATGTGCCTGAGTTCGAGAAGGTCATTTGGTACAAGGATCCAAACATGCGAAAGCTGTTCTGGCACTCGTCGGTTCTTTGCATTGCCTCCGCCACTACTGGTTATGACGGGTGAGTGGAGTTTCCAGTAATGCCGCGGGATTTGCTGACCATCTTCAGCATGATGATGAACTCTTCGCAGCAGATGAGCAGATGGCAGGACTACTTTGATGAGCCTACCGGTAACCGCCTGGGTCTTATGAACAACATGTACAACATCGGTTCGATCGTCAGCTTCTTCCTCGTTCCCTTCCTCACCCAGTGGACCGGACGTAAGATTCCAATCGCCGTCGGCTGCTCCATAATGATTGCTGGTGCCCTTGTCTCGACCTTCTCTACGAACTGGCAGATCTACATGGGTGGCCGTTTCATCCTTGGTTTCGGTAACTCTTTCGCCCAGATGTGCTCGCCTATTCTTCTTACCGAGATCTGCCATCCTCAGCACCGTGGTATCTTCACTGCCGTATACAACTGTCTCTGGAACTTGGGTGCTCTTTTCGTCGCATGGATTGCATGGGGTACATCTCAGGCGGACAACCACTGGTCTTGGAGGTCCATCACTCTTCTTCAGGCTCTGCCTTCGTTCCTCCAACTCTGCTTCCTTTGGTGGGTTCCTGAGAGTAAGTCAAACTTTACACTGCATAACGAATATACGCTGACATTGCTTTCCAGGCCCACGTTGGTTAATCTCCAAGGAGCGCTACGAAGAGGCCCTGGACACTCTCGCCTACTACCATGCCGGAGGTGACCGTAACAACGCCACGGTTCAGTTCGAATACGTCGAGATGAGGGAGGTCATTCGTCTGGAAGCCGATGCAAACAAGAACTCCAGCTACGTCGACTTTGTCAAGACCAAGGGTAACCGATGGAGGTTGGCTATTCTTATCTCTCTCGGTATCATCTCCCAGTACTCTGGCAACGCGCTCTTCTCCAACTACATCAACTTGGTCTACGAGGGTGCTGGTATTACCAGCGAGAACCAGAAGATGGGTGTAAGTATCGCTGAAACGTTGCATGGAAACACTCACTAACATTGCATCAGCTCACCGGTGGTGAACGTATCTTGGCTCTCTGTGTGTCCGTCTACGCCGCTACCTTGATCGACAAGGTTGGTCGTCGTCCCCTCTTCCTCGGCGCAACCACTGGTATGGTCGTCTCATTCGTCTGCTGGACCATCACGTGCGCCATCTACGAGAACTCCGGCGACACCAACTCCGCAGCCGGTTACGCTCAGATTCCATTCGTCTGGATCTTCGGTGTCTTCTACGCTTTCGCCTGGTCTGGTCTGCTCGTTGCCTACGCTCTCGAGATTCTGCCTTACGCTCTCCGTGCTAAGGGTCTCATGATCATGAACATCACTGTGCAGGCTATCCTCGCCGTTGGTGGTCAGACGAACCCCGTCGCATGGGACAACCTTCCCAAGCACTGGAACTTGGCTCTCTTCTACACCCTCTGGATTACCGTCGAGCTTGTCTTTGTCTACTTCGTCTACCCCGAGACAAAGGTATGTACACTCCACTCCTGATCTACCCATGAGAACAATGCTAATCTTGTACAACAGGGTCCCACACTTGAGGAGATCGCCCGTATCTTCGACGGTCCTGCCGCAGTGGCTCCCGTGGACATGGATGCGATCGCCAGACAAGCTGCTAAGGAGCGCCTCAACAACTTCGGCGATGAGAAGGAGCCTCACGTCGAGCAGAGCCACGTCGTCTAGGGTGTTTGACTTCACTCATTAGTAGTCATGTCGCAAGAATAGGAGAGGTTGGGCTTCGTAGTTTTGGCATTCGCTACCCCTAGAGCAGTCTTTACTTCAATATACCCACTGCTTTGGTACGCACTGTCTACTGCTCTCTTGCTGTCATGTTTCGTGATGACTACGCTCCAGAACAATTGCGCAGGACCTTCGGCACTGATCTCCCACGACAGGACACATGCTAGCGCGTCGGCCAAGACGCCAAGCAATGCTAATTCTGTGCTCACCCCGCAATCATTTGAGCGATTTCCGCACTCCGTCTCATCTTCTCAACCCGTCTTGGCATCCAACATTGAAGAGCCCTTCCGTGTCTGGCGCGTCAGCAAATTATCACTCAGCTTCATCAACCACCCTGAATCCTTTTTTTTATATCCGAATAGCAACCTGGATCACACCACACTCATCTCCGTCGGTCGGTCGGTCATATTACCTAGATACCAGCTTACTGCTCCCCAATTGTTCCATCACTACAGTTACTCGGCACCATCTCCGGATGCGACTTATATGAGACGGCAGTTGTGAGTCTACGGATCGGAGAATTAGGGCGCTGACGCCGTATGCATCTTCGTCGCGCCATATTGCCATGCCTCGCACGCACTGCAAGTCTGCAGAGACCGTAGAGCTATTTGCCCACCTTGCGGCACGCACAAGCTGGTCGATTTCTCTCGCGCTTGACGCAAACATCAGCCTTGTTGAATTGATCGTTCTCATTAATTTACTATCGACATCACGACCACCATACACGTCTAGCTGCCCAAGACTCCGGGTTTCGGCGTGAAAGGGCGTAGACGTAGGACGGTGGCACGATGATCTTGGAAGCATCCCAATTGCCACATGTCTTTAAGCATTTTATAGCATACGTTCTCATACTATGTGTATTGTATCCGGTTTCAATGCGTTGAAAATCCTGAGTACTTTGGGCTCAGCGCAAGTCTTGCGAACAAGCTTGAAGTGATGAATATCTAATGCCCGAGATCCAGAGCAAGACCCGTATAAGATATGAGACATTTCCACCTTCATAAGATAACATGGTATCCGCCAGATGTGACTACTCGTCAAACATGCTATCTAAGATTGTGTCGCTGTAACCCGCGTTCAACCCAAATTCTCCATCATCCCGCTTCGACGTCGTTCACAGAACCTCACATCAATCCTGATCCATCGTACCGCTCCTCATCCGGTCCAACCTCATACTGGGGCTGATCCTCAGCCTTCAGCGACTTGGGATCGATGTATCGACAAGTAAGCGCAAACCGCAGCTTACCCGAGTGCTCAACAGCGTGCTCATAATACTTCTGTACATCCGCACCGTGCATGATGACAATATCGCCATGACCGAGCTGCATCGTCAGCGCGTCCCTCGCATTGCCTCGGTTGCTGAGTTTCAATTGCTTGGGAATTTGTTTCCTCCTCGCGTTGTACGCTTTAGAGTCTGATGTCTTGAGCGCATCGAGAGAAGGTTGGACTGCGAGACGAGCGTCGTAGTGTTCGCATCCTGGGATTGGGGCAGTGTCGTCGTAAAGACCAGCGACAGAAGACACACCATGGTAGTGACGGGCTTTCATGCGGATCCGCATAGTGCCAGGTGCACCCAAACTCAACGTTGCGATAGTTGGGCCGAGGCCGAATTCGCCGTCATCATGGTAGTTGATCTTTTGTTCTTCGAAGTATCCCAGTGCTAGAACTTCGTTGAACTCCTTCTCTTGCCATTCTTGATTGACTTCTTCCATGCTCGTCCCAGTCTCTTGTGTCAAGAGCAACTTGGCCGCCCAGTTCAAGCGACTGCGAGTGCTGGTTATTGGACGAGCGGCTCCATCGAAAGAACGAGATGCTGTCGCTGCGATGAATTTGTACGGCATGCCATAGTTGACTGCGAAATGGCGGCAGTAGTTTGGTCCTTTGAGCTGACCGTTCGGCATGGAGCGTCGCTGCAGTCCAATGTCCGTCTGTTGGAGCTCTTCGAACATGGCATCTGGTCCACCTTTTTCCTCAAGCACGGTCTTGTTGGCGATCATGTGTGTGATGAAGCCATTGACTCCGGGTAACTCATAGCGATTGATACGATATCCATGTTCAAATGATACCTTCAATCCTAAAAGAGGTGTCATTGTATCCCTAGACAGCGTGTAGCTGCTAGTGACTGGCCATAATGGGTCGTGAAGCGATAGCGCGGGGATGAGCGTGTGCGGAGGCGTTCTCATGTACTGGCATGCTACATTGGAACACTCCCAATTTGTCCAGTTCAGACGGGATGTGCAGCGTCCGCAACCAGGGCAAACGATACCAGACCAGAATGCGACGGATGTATTTTCGCCAGGAATAGAGTGTCCTGAAAGTTCAGCAGCGTTAGAGACTAGAGGGTAGTCGTGATCGTCGTTGTGCCAAGGAGTCTTCTGCTTGAGAAAGCGTGGGTCATATACCAAGGAGGCTTCTTTTGGCTCCTGCGCTGACGTGCTCGTTCCGGGTCCTGGTGTGGGCATGAGAATCTTCCAAAAGGCGGCGCAAGTCGGTTGTAGACACATCCACCCGTTCAGGTATATCTGTTGAGACTTCACGTTGCAGCTTCCGCATATCTTCTCGACTGGAGGTTGCAGCGAGCCAAGCTCTGCAACTTCCTGTGAATCCTTCTCCTTCCACCAGGACTCTTTCTTTGTGTTCAGCTTCTCAAAGCGGTATCGCACAATCTTGCTGTTACCACTCTTCTCAGCCCAGATATGGGTGGGCTTGAAATGATCCAAAACACAGTACTGATGCGGTGGCTTTGATGGGATGTTGGGGTTGTCGACTCCGGTGATGATGACGACTGGGTTGTAGTGAAGCATGCAGTTCCTCAAGCCTAGCGCAGCTGAGTCTTCAGATTGGTCCTTCTTTGACTTCATCTCACCGGAGTCAATGTCCTTCGCGAGACCACCACCTGCTCGTGAGATGACAACGTTAGTATCCATATAGTCGCGAGCATGCGCAACCTTGTCAAACATGAAGCCCCTCGCAAAACCGCCAGTTGAGTAGCAGGCGCTTTGGTATGCGCGATAGTAATGTAGCGTCTCGCAGATCTCTTGCCGTCCGTCGGCCCAGACTTCTGGTTGTCCGTGCGGTTCTGGCTTGTTCGAACCTCTATTCTGCTGGGCAATGAGTCGCTCGGTGATATCGGAGAGGTGTTTGTTGTCGGCTAGGTCGAATCCTTCACCGACGGGAGAGCCCACGAATTCATCGCAATCCGTTGTTGCTTCTGATTCCGCATACAGACTGGACACCGGCCCAACAAGGTCGGCACAGGGCGGTTTTGACTGGTCGGCGGCATCGCCAGCTCGAAGCCAAGCCTCGACCTGCCCGCTGCGATCTCGATTGTCGGGGACAGAAAGAGCCACGGAACAGTCATGCTCTTCGTGCCCAGCTGCGCCACACCTTCCGCAGGTCGAACCCAAAGGCAGTATGGGCTGGGCTAGATATGAGTCTTGTTCAGGCACCTGGCCGTTCCCAAGCTCAGCGTTCGACTTTTCATGCACGACACTCAGATCATAGTGAATGGCTGATTCGGGCGTAAGGTATGCGAAGCGACCATCTGCCTCCTTCGAAAGCATTGATGGCGGTGTTTGGGCGTGATTGACGAAGTCTGGGACGTTGCGCATACTGTCCTCCGGCGTATTTGGTTCCCATGCTTGCGATATGGGGGTCTGGCTTGAAAGGGTTTCTTGCGAGGCGGGCGGTGTTGCAAAATCCTGACTCGATGCCGGTACGGGATCCAGTATACGCTGAGCACATTGGCCTTGTCCGTCCAGCGGAAGAGAGGTCTGTGTGTTCTTGTAGGCGGAAATCTGTTTGCAAATTAGCTTGATGACCGAAGGGTCGGAGGGTTGTACAAACCGGAGTTGATGGCAAAGAACCAGGCGGGGACGATAGGTCACTACCGGAGCTTTCGTTGTCATATTTCCGGCTTGGCTGGCGTGTGAATGTGGTGACTGGGACTTTGAGACAGACTATCAGGGACTCTTTCTCCGGTAGTTGTGACGAGCTGTCGATGCCATTGGCAATTGTGTCCGAAGGTGCCGGAAGCTCAGCCTGAATCTGATGAGAAGCACCCCTTGCTGTAGCTGAACCTTCCTCCGTAGATGGATTGGCCTTGGCCGAGGTCGCTTTCTTCTTCTTGTGGGCTGACGGCTGAGGCGGTGCATTGATGTATCTTTCCGGAGGCTTCCTTACCCTTGCCGGGCGTTGAGAAGATGCGCTGCCATAGTTACCAAGATCTTTCTGAATTTCAGCGGTCCCTGACTCGATCGTGGGTTTGGGTTGCTTCGCTCCGGGTGCACCTTCCCAGTCGGAATCGCTGTCGTCAGACTTGCGCTTTGAGGATGCCATGAGAGATGAGTGATTCGAGTAGTGATCTGCTGTTAGATGCGTGTTGGATATGCAGTAACGATAGCTGAAGCGACAAGAAAGACAATTGAAGTCTAGAAACAACAGAGTGAGGTCAGGAGTGGCAGGTGGTGGGATCGCGTCATGCGGACAATAGAAATTCAATTCAGGTTCGTGCGACAATAGGAAGACAGCTATACTTAGAGTCACGGAAAACTCTGCTGAGTCGCTCTCACTTGGGCGGCGCAGTGAGAGTGGGCAAACGTTGGAGATGGTGACAGTGAAGACGGCTGCCAGCGCGGAGGCAGGGTCGAGGGTGGCTCTTGCTGTAGTACGTCGCGATAGGAGCGACTTCCAAGATAGCAGCCAAACCTGGAGAGATTCGTCATGCTTGCGGCTCCTGATGATACTCGGTCCCGAATTGCAATAATTTCTTTCTGCGTGTCTGGGTCGAGGAGGTGAGTCGCATTTTGGTGGCTCCGAGCTAAGGCCGGCGTTAAGGAGAGGTTTGGCCGCTTCGAGGCGTGACCTCGGTACCCCAGCTTTCCCCACAGTTGGGGGCTGGCAGTAGCTGTCGGCTCCGACAAGACACGGCATCCGATGATGCTAACGTCATTCAGGAAGATGGGCGCATGCGTTAAAGCTCGAGTTCTGATTCATTCTTCGTCTTCTCCCTGCATCGCCAATTGAGGCTTACTATAGGTGAGTTCCTGCATCCGTCCCAAGACTTCGCGCACAACTGACGTACGCGTAGCTATCGCCCAACATGCCTTTCAATCCTCCTTCATGGGTGCCGCAGCTCCCCTTCGACCCGCCAGACTCGATTCCCATCTGCGACTTCATGCTCGATGAGCACTATGGCCGTCATCCGCTCGGCTATTCGAACGACCCCTTCACCTGCGGGTTGACCGGGAAAACATACTCGTGTTTGGATATGCGAGACCGCGTCGAGGCTCTCGCCCGAGGCTTATCAAAGGAGCTTGGCTTCAAGCCTAACGAGGCGACTGAGTGGGACAAGGTTATCGCTGTCTTCTCTGTCAACACGGTAGGCATATCCAGGCTGATGGATCTACGAGGATACTAACGCTGGCTAGATTGACACGCTTCCATTGGCATGGGCTACCCATCGTCTGGGTGGTATCCAATCGCCCGCCAATGCTGCGTACAGTACCGCTGAACTCGAATATCAATTGAAGAACTCCGGCGCGAAAGCCCTCTTCACCTGCGTCCCCCTCCTAGACACTGCGCGACAGGCGGCGAAGAACAGCGGCATCCCCGAGAATCGCATATACATACTGGAGGTGCCCGAATCGTTTGCTGGCAAGAAAACACCAAAGGGGCTCAAGACAGTCGACGATCTCATCCGTGAGGGCGAGAAGCTTGACCGTCTGCCCAAGTTGGACTGGGAGAAAGGCGACGGAGCTCTGCGGACCGCGTTCCTTTGCTACTCTAGCGGTACTTCAGGACTACCGGTAAGGATTGAATATACTGTGCGTATGCGCAACTATGTGCTAACGTGTTACACAGAAAGGTGTCATGATCTCGCACAGGAATGTCATCGCCAACACAAGTAAGTTTGTCCTCTATCGCATCAAACACTAGCTGACCACAAGCAGTGCAAATCACTACCTACGAGAAGCCGTACAGAGACACGATCATCAACGACGTACGAAACCAATCCGACTACACTGAGATCGCCCTGGGCCTCTTGCCCATGTCGCATATCTACGGCCTCGTCGTCATCTGCCATGCGAACGTCTACCGTGGAGATGGTGTCGTAGTTCTCCCTAAGTTTGAGTTTGCGTCAACTCTGCAGGCCATCCAAGACTACAAGATCAACTCGTTGTTCTTGGTCCCACCGATCATTATCCTCATGACCAAGAACAAGCCCTTGCTCGACAAGTACGACCTCAGCTCCGTCTGGTCGATCTTTACCGGCGCAGCGCCATTAGGACAAGAGACGGCAGAGGATCTCTCGAAAATCTTCCCCTCGTGGAAGATCAGGCAAGGATATGGCCTCACAGAGACATGCACCGTTGTTTCCTCGTCCTCCCCCGACGACATTTGGTTCGGCTCCTCCGGTTCCCTGCTGCCTAGCATCGAGTGCAAGATTGTTACTATTGAGGGCACCGAGATTACTGGTTACGACCAGCCTGGCGAGTTGCTAGTCAAGTCTCCTTCAGTCGTGTTGGGCTATCTGAACAACGACAAGGCCAACAAGGAAACGTTCCAAGATGGGTACATGCGCACCGGAGATGAGGCTGTATTCAAGAAGGGGGCAAACGGTCACGAACACGTCTTCATCGTTGATCGTATCAAAGAACTCATCAAGGTCCAGGTACGGTCTCTACTCCCTGTGAAAGATATTCTAAACTAACAACATCCTAGGGCCACCAAGTCGCACCTGCAGAGCTCGAAGCACATCTCCTAACGCATCCTGCTGTAAACGACTGCGCCGTCATCCAAATCCCCAACGAGAAGACCGGAGAGGTACCGAAAGCTTTCGTCGTCAAATCACCATCAGTCGGTCTGGAAGAGAACGACCGCGTCCTCGCTCGCGAGATTCAGAAGCACGTCGAAGAACACAAGGCGCGATACAAGTGGATCAGCGGTGGTATTGAGTTCATCGATGAGATTCCGAAGTCGCCGTCTGGAAAGATTCTGCGACGGTTGTTGAGGGACAAGGAGAAGGAGAAGAGGAGGTTAGCAGGTAGCAAGCTCTAGACACCTATACTAGTGAGGCGCTGTTGTTGTTCTTGCGATGCCTGTTGTGAGTTGTTTCCGCGTCCCTGTTCGCGATATCAGATACCGTTATAAGTCAATATATTCGAGTAACCACAACTACCTGTTATACATCCTGTCAATTTAACCTGATGCAGTGAGGATGTATACTAGTGTAAGCTCCAATGAAGGTTTGTTGCTCCTCGTATCAGGGTGCTTCTGTAGTAAGCTGATAGCTCCCCACCCTGCCAAGTGGGTATAGCTCCAGCAGCTGCCCACATTCAACCCCCCCTTTTTGCCCTAGCGAAGGCACATTTTCAGGTCCACTAAGTCCCTCAGTTTTGCTACCAGCGCTTCCGGAACAACTACATAAATCTTACAATTTCTCTGTTTGCTATAAATCAGGGCTCGTTGGTGTAGTTGGTTATCACGTCAGTCTAACAAGGGGTCTTCAAAAGCCACCAGTTAGGACACTGAAGGTCCGGAGTTCAAACCTCCGATGAGTCAAGAGGAGCTACAGTTACTGTAGTGCATTCGCTTTTTTGTTGCGGGGGTGGACAGTGAATAGGCGTGGGTGGATGTGGACTTTTTTTTTGGTAGATTTCGAGTTGGCGAATGAAGACCCGTATTTCACTCCAAAATACCCAAAGTGATGCTTATGAGGGATATATCAGGTAGCTTTCGAATTCTGTCCATTCAATTTTGAAGGATGTGTTCGTTGGCAGGGGTGGGGACAAAAAGGCGAAACTTCGGCACACGAACTTCGAGAGTTCGGTGCAGCGAGCCTTAGACGACACAGCAAGTTGTTATATTTCAAAAGGCAAATATAGTCGTAGCAGCCCGAGAAATACACTTAAGGGATCGATAAAGTCTATTATATGCATGTAGTAGGCAAGAGTATACTTTGTGATAAGGCAATGAGAAGATTCATGTCTGTAGAATATCCAGCTATCGTATCAACATAAAATAGATATTAGACAATCAGAGGCAGTCTAAATGTGATGTTGTGATACGAGTAAAGCTGTGCCTCCCGATCCCGGCATACCTCGGCGTCCTCGCACCAATTTCCAGCAAATTCTCACCGCAGCCCCACCACGGCCCTACCATGCAAACCACCAAGTCTGTTCCACACTTCTTTACACATCTACATAACTCGTAATATTTTTCATCGCCCCATCAATCAGTTAAGCAACTCGCTTACAATCGGTTTTGTAGTGTGCGTAGATCCTCTTCCTCACTTACCAACTTGCCCCCGCTAATAACCATCCAGGTAGCGGTTATCACTCCGGATTCTGATCTCAAAATCAGTATCTTCCGGCAACCCCGGTTCGATTCCGGGCAAGACCTCTCTTTTTGGATCCGTAGAGGCCTTGGGTAGTGTAGGGAGACGTGGTGGTATGCATGGTGGGGTGTTGGCGGAGAATGAAGCTTTTTTGGTTTCGGGTATGTCAGACACCCAACTTTTTTTTGAACATGGAACATGGCATCTCATACAATGGAAAAGCTGAACAGGTCTACATTAACATAGGACCCTGCAAAGTAGGTGCCCTAACGTAGATGTAGGCTCCTGACCTGTTCATTTTGTCCCTAGGTTGACGTGCTGGTGTGCACTGGAGATCTAGCGATGCACAGTAAATCATTACATGTAGACTGGTCAAATATCATAGATAGCGGTATTGATTGTAGGATTCTTCACAAACTACCAACTTGGATCATTGCCCCTGAGGCTAACCCCTGCCCATCCCCCACCAAGTAGCGAGTGAATATCGCCCAGGCTACACCTCCAACCAAGACAAAGTGGATATAGAACGCTCGTGCAAAGGAAAAACAAGCAAGGGAATAAAGGTCGCTCAAAGACCACGAGGTAAAGGTAGCGAGAGGGGTATCAATGGTGCGCAGCAGCGAAAGCCGGCCGAGAGAAGAAACATTACAATAGGCGGTACGAGTGATAAGATGCGCGCGAGCACAACCGCTTTCTAGCCTTGCAGTCAGGCCCCTAGGGTTTGTTGAGCGAGTGGGAGAATACAAAAGGTGGGTCGAAGTAGAGTGACGGTAGGAAAGATGCAGACGAGGTATATGGGGCCTCCGCACAATGACGTTGAGTCGTATGGGTCGTTGCCCTAGCAGTGAGAGAATAAGACGGTACAAGCGAAAGATGGAAGACGTTCGAAAGACAAATGGGCGACAGGCGGTGGAAGACATCCGAGCGACCGTAAAGCATGCCCGTCACACGTGAGCGAGTCGTAAGTGCAGTGCGTTGTTTAGAAACCACGGAAAGGATC